TTTCCCTTAACCAGGAAATTAACGTTCTTAGAATTGACAGACAGTTGACCCTGAGAGGTCAAGTAAATACTTACAGCGGATCTAAATATTTATAATTAATTATAACTAGTTATGATTAATTATTCATATTTCCCCCTTGAGCTGATTCGCTACAGCAGTTATTAGAAAGAGAGCGAGAGAGACAGAAACACACAGAGAAAGAGACAGAGAGAGAGAGAGCTTGTGTGAATTAGGCTACCTCTGTGCGTCCCTCAACGGTGTTCTGCAGCAGTGTCTCTAAACAGCGCTTTTATTACCTCGCTAGTGAGAAATTTCATGTGTAGCCTTTATGTTGCTACACTATAAACTGATCAAATCGTCAGGGCAGCGCTGACAACACCTTTTTGTGCAAACTGCATGACCGTAATGTGCGTGTGCGAGCACGTGTGATTGCAGTAATTCCTGTGTGCTGTATAGGTACTGTATGCTAATTTCCGTTATTACAGTTAACTATGCGAAGTGATATAAAACTGTAATGCAGTCAAGAGAGCTGCCTGGAACTACGTTCGCGTGCGTTTCCCTGAAAATAATTGCACACCCCAGAACGTTCGTCAGCCAATCAGATTCAAGCATTCAACAGCCCCGTAGTATAAATCACAATAATCCACAATAATCCACAGCACTCCAGTCCATCAGTTAACATCTGGAGAAGACAAAAGCTGCGTGTTTGTAAAAAAAACAAATTCATCAAGTTATTCTTCAAAGCTTTGCTTCTGGCTAAAACACAAGTTTTTTATCCATAATATTGCTTTCTCTAGTGAAAAAGTCTCATCCGAATCGAGAGAGAAATCTGCACAGATCAAGCACACACGTTCACAAGCCAAAACAGCTCTGAACAAATATGCAGTGTTGGGGGTAACGCATTACAAGTAACGCGAGTTACGTAATCAGATTACTTTTTTCAAGTAACTAGTAAAGTAACACATTACTTTTTAATTTACAAATAAAAAGTAACTAAGTAACATAATTAGTTACTTTTTTACGGAGTAACGCAATATTGTAATGCATTACTTTTAAAAGTAACTTTCCCCAACACTGCAAATATGTGAGTGAATTTTGATCTGAAAGACAACAGGAGATGCACTTTTTATGGATTACATTTACATTTACATTTAGTCATTTAGCAGACGCTTTTATCTGAAGCAACTTACAAATGAGGACAATAGAAGCAATCAAACCGACAGAGCAACAATATGTAAGTGCTGTGACAAGTCCCCATTAGTCTAATGCAGCACACGATGTAAGGTTGACTTTATGGACTTTTTTTTATGGATTATGGACTCATATTTTATCTAGAAGTGAAAGTTTAAAGTTATAAACATTTAAATAATAGATTTCTTTCTTACATACACGCAGCTTCTGTCTTCTCCAGATGTTAACTGATGGACTGGAGTGCTGTGGATTACTTGTGGATTATTGTGATGTTTTTATCAGCTGTTTGGACTCTCATTCTGACGGCACCCATTCACTGCTGAGCATCCATTGCTGAGACACTGATGCAATGCTACATTTCTACAAATCTGATAAAGAGACAAACTCATTGACATCTTGGGTGGCCTGAGGATGAGCGCATTTTTAGCAGATTTCATTTCCGTGTGAACTATTCCTTTAAACACTATGTTTTTCTTCTTTTAGTGTGTTCAAACCGAACAGGATGAGGAATCGAGGTGTGTAATCTCAGCATGTTTCTCTCTCACACACAGTCTTCGAAAGCCACGACAGACCGCAAATTATTCCCTAAGCCTGCTGGGTTTGAGGGGGAACCCAACATGTGCGACCCATCGGAGAAGGGAAATCTGACTCAGGATCTGGATTTGGGTCACGCTCAAGCCGAGTGCCTCATCGGTGGGGCGGATGCAGAAGAAACATCGTCAGCTCTGTTGTCCAGGAACACGGCCATGACTCGGTTTGAGGGAAAAGCACTTGGCATGGATAAAGCCATCTTACACAGCATTGACTCCTGCGGTAAATACTGACTTATATTTATCAACACGTGGGTAAATCTCTTAAAAACCCTGAGGGCAATCCTCACCCCCTAATTAAAGCAAAGATTGACGTGCTATTAAAACAATATTATGTGCTATAATACATTTCAGCCACCTCTAACTTGGGTCATACTATGGACATTACCTGAGTGGTGTCATAATTCTTGTAAAAGTGAGCATATTGGTAAGATGAATGAAGAATCGAGACATTTATTCCAATTAACTTATTATAAATTCCTATAAATGTCCAGACATAAAAGATAAGAGAACAAGTTGAAACAGATGGGTAAGCAAGAAACAGTATAGTACACAGGAAGTTTCCATGTTTTTCAAACATTAAAGTGAATTTGTACAGGAAGGAAACATTGTCTTGAAGAAGATGATAGATTACAGTCACTCCACAAACATTCCTTACATAATTATATTTTTATATTTTGGTGCTGAAGCCTAACAGCATGTGTTTATGGGTCTATTTCCACAGCCTCGGATGAAACGAAGCGTAAGATGTACAGCTGTATTCTGGTAGTTGGTGGCGGGCTGCTGTTTGACGGAGCGCAAGAGTTTCTGCAGCATCGCGTCCTCAATAAGATGCCTCCATCTTTCCGTCGTCTGGTGGAGAACGTCGATGTCATCACACGACCAAAGGTGTGTAGGGAAACCTGTGTGTGTGTGTGTGTGTCAGCAGATTTTCAAAGAAGTTATTGATGACTTTGCTTTGAATAAAGGAGGAAAAGTGTCTTTGTAACCAGTGATTAAAGTGCTTTCATGAGTGCTCTGTGAGGAAGACACTCATGTCATGTAATTAAAACTTTGCTAATCATATTTGTTCCAAAACCATTAATATACATGCATATTTAAAGAGATAGTTCACCCAAAAATGAAACTTAGCTGTTATTGTACTCGCTCTCAGGCCATCCGAAGTGTAGGTGCCTTTTATTTCTTTAGTAGAACAGTTTTGAAGATTTTGAGCTGAAACCGTGCTTCTTGGTGATTCATAAAATGCAAGTCTGTGGCTGCAAAAAAAGGCAAAAACGATTGTCTGTGCAAGAAACTGAAACTTTTTCAGTTCGTGTGTAGGATAAACTGAAAATGTTTGATTCAAAATCTGACGGTTTCTTATTTTAGGAAGTGCACTGCATATCTTACTGTACCTACTGTGACCTACTAGTAGGGCTGCACGATTGACAAAAATCATAATTCTCGATTATTCCATTGAAATTGTAATTGCGATTATTAAAGGGGTCATATGATGTTGCTAAAAAGAACATTATTTTGTGTATTTGGTGTAATGAAATGTGTTTATGCGGTTTAAGGTTAAAAAAACACATTATTTTCCACATACTGTACATTATTGTTTCTCCTCTATGCCCCGCCTTTCTGAAACGCGTCGATTTTTACAAAGCTCATCGGTCTGAAAAGCGAGGTGTGCTGTGATTGGCCAGCTATCCAGTGCGTTGTGATTGGCCGAATACCTCAAGCGTGTGACGGAAATG